GGAAAAATCCCACCCCTATTTGCCGTGATTAACCACTATATTTTCTACGATTTGTAAATTTGTAAGCTAAATTGTAATCTTAAAAAAGTAATATTGTTGCGTTAAATTGAAATTCATATGATTTCAAACTTTCACAAATCCAAGAGGTGTTCTCTATACAATTGATTTAGACAAAATATATATATCCATCAATTAGAAGGTCATTTTGATATAGCTAATAGAATTAGCTAGAGAATATGTGAGTTTGAAGGTCACACATCAATTTCTTTTAATTTTTTTCCGTATCTTTCTTGTTTACATATTAGAATCGAAAATTTACCAAAAATATATGTTATAGACGATCAAATCTTCGATGTGAAGGAATTTGAATATAGTTTTGTAACTGAGAATAAAATGACTAATTTTGAGTTAGGATGAAACTATTGCAAGAACAATGTGAACATGTCGACTCCAAATTCTGAATGTTATTTTCGTAAGAGTATACAAAAATTTAATATCGGCAATGGTCCTTAGTAAGGACTCCTTACGTACACATCTTTAACACCACAAAATATCTATAGCTCGAGGACATGTTTTTACTTTGTAACTTTGGTCGATATTGTTCACACAATTACCCCAAACCGGGACAAAAAGTCCCCGAAAAAGAAAATAATAACAACGATGACCATTGATTACAATAACACTAATCTTTACCACAAGTTAACCGAGCTAAACCGGCAATTAGGAGCGGTTCGATTGTGTTGATCTTAGATTAAAAAAAAATCACATATTGATGAAAAAAAAATCCAATATAAGTAGAAAATCTTACACATTCAAAATGATCTTATGTTAGTAAAACAAGGATATTAGGCATATTCTCAAAGACTTAAAACATTTTTGGTGTTATATTCATTTTCTGATGGGCCTGAGAACAAATAATCTGATTTAGCAATAAAAATGTACTACTATAATTGATGTTTTTAAAAAGGTATATCATTTTTTTCATGCCATTATTACATATGCAATGGGAGAAAGAGAAGGTCCAGAATTTTAAAATAATAAATCTCTTGTCCACTTATCTTGGAATCAAAAACTACGATTTTTTTTTTTTTTCAAAATATAAGTAAAGATGTAGCATTAACATATTTTTATAACCTGAAAATTTAATCAAAAAGACGTTTTTTTAAGCCGTAAGAAAAAAAAAGAATATTTAACTTTCTTTTTTATATTTACAAAAATAATATCTTTCTCTCTCTCTCTTTCAAGGTGGCACAAGCACACATAACCTTCAGACC